CATTCGAATCTACATTGTGGAACGAGCACATAGCTTCACTGACGTACAGACTGACAGGCTATTATTCTATTTTGATGTTTCAAAAGTACCAGTATATGGTTTAGTTGGAATAAAATATTTTGGAAAACCAAAAATGGCTCTTATTGTTTTTTTTTTTTTAAATACTGGCAATATCGACTGTGTAATAATTGTTACAATACACTTGACTCCACGGTTGGCGCTGTGGTCGGGTAACTGGCTGCCACGCAAGGTGTCGCGGGATCAATTTCCGCACGGAACAACTCTTTTTGTGATCTACAAATTGATGTTATGTGTATGTTTGTAAACGCACCCACGACACGGGGAAAAATACTAGTGAGGGCAATGCTTTAAAAAAAGCTTTAGGGCTACCTAAATCATTCTTGCAAATAATAATAAAATAGCCATAGGGCGGGCTTACAAATGTATTAATTTGCCAAATAGTGCGAATTATACCTCTACCTGTTCCTTTGGGAAATAACAGGCACGATCTGTATGATATGTTCATAAAATATTCAAAGTAATAGGTCAGTCAGAAAATGATACTAGTCTTTACTTCATTTTTTCGTTTCTTCACAGAAGAAAAAAATAACAAAGTACCCTAATAATTACGCATCTTTCTTTTGTAAGGCGCATTGTGACGGTGAATAGAAAATCTTTATTATAGGTATATGATATAATATTGAATTTAACTATATCTTATCCTTTTCATTGAAATTCTGTTTCTAAAAACATTTTTTCTACATTTCGACTCCATTTTTTGTAACATGCGCTGTGCGTTGCTGGCAACCCTATTGTCTCCCTGCACACCGACTGCGCCCATGGAAAATACAACAATAGGCTCCATTTTTTCTACAGATTCGACATTTCCAGTAGAATGCTTCATTATTTCTAGCAGTAGGTATAATTTACTCGATATTTTGTATGAAAATACGTGCAATGTATTGATAAATAGTGTGTCATATATCCAATTTATTTGTCAAGGCGATTCCAAATCCGTAGGGTGACCGTAATTTGCGCGCTTTGTGATAGGAACCCACAGGGATGTTATGAAGACGTATGAAAAAGGTTATAGCTCTAACCTTTACAATGGCTCAGAACTTATTCAATGTATCTTCATAAAAAGATCAATTCAGTTGATCGTAGGCGGGATTTTTGAGTTTTCATAACGTGATGAAAAAGTGAATAATGGATTTCTTTCATGTTATTTGCACACAACTAAACCTTTTAGTAGCTCCAAGTCTCATTTATTAGCGGCCGCAGTTTGGTACAAAGCCTTTGCCTCGGTTTTTCTATTACGTAGAAGTCAATTTGTCTGAACATTTATTAAAGGATACAGGTATTACGTAGGAATCTTTAGAATTAGTACATTTACTTTTCATTTCTATGTGGACATTGAAATGATATTGTAAACCAGAGCTTAAATAACATTAATAAAATACCTAGAAATAATGGTTCTAGAACAAAATCGAAGTATCGAATGCCCCTACAAAAAAATATATTTGAGTTGCTATGTGTAAAAAAGAAGCAAAATTAATAATATATATGTAGAATACATGGGTTTATTGTCGTGCGTGTGACGTGTTGACACCGGCGAAGATCTGGGTAGTCAAATAAAACAATGTAGGAAGCTGTCCCGCCCAGACGGGATGACCGGCGACCCTAACCTACGTACATGTCAATGAGAATGTTACGTGAACAAAGTATGCGAATTCTTCATGTCACCTACGGAGATTTAACAGGGTGAAAATGAATGGAGATAAATAAACAAGTATGTAGGTAATTACGTCGGTTTTCTACGACAAAAATGTTGGAGAAAGGGACTTTTGCAGGTTATATTGGGCTGGGGATATGTATTATGTATAAAGAGTTTTTGTTTGCATGCCGGAAGATTATGGTTGTATAATTGTGTTTATAAAAATCCTATTTAAAAGTAACTAACAAGAGCTTTAATATATTACACACTAGCTGACCGCCCCTGCTTCGCACGGGTATCCGACTATCCCGGTGTCAGTCATTAGTTTTGCAAACGAACTTCCACGGCTCGAAAAAGGTTGCTCCGAAAGGAGACCCGCTATTCCCCTTTATTTTTCTAAAGTTTTCTTTCGTAAGAACCTACTCCTAATAATAACGAAAATAACAAAAAAATAATTGGCAAAATTGGTCCAGACGTTGTTGAGTTATGCGCTTACCAACACATTTCGCGATTCATTTTTATATTATAGATTACAGACATCATAAAGGTTTAACTGCAGTATTGAAGAGCTCATTGAAATATGTAGAATTGAAACGTTTCCTTCATAAACCTAAACCACGCAAAATATGAGTAAAGAACATGTACATAATATTTCCATATTAATCGTCGATTCGTAATATACAGAGCAGAATAATTAATCATACGCTTTGATTTGCGAACTGTTCAAATGAAAAGACCTTTTAACATTCGATAGAATTGCACTTACCGATTCTGTTAGTTCAGATACTGAGTAGCTGAAACTATTTTCAGTGGCAATGGAAACAGAAAATGAAGTATTGGAATCAAGTTTTCAAGATCTATTTTAATTCATAATTATTATAGGGATTCTGACAGTCAACTATGAACTATGACGGATTTTATGATCATCATCAGCCTATAAGCGCACACTGCCGAGCAAAGACCTCTTCTCACACGGAGATATTTTGACCAAGAATCACCAGATCATAATTCGAAATTACTAATTACAAATCCAGGTTTCTTCAAGATGATTGTCATTCATCATTTGCCAATGGTATTCAAATAATCATCCTTAACCTCCGGACCACCACGACACTTTGTGACTCTACGAAAAATCCTTTTCTACGACTTCTTTAACGCTGTTTGAGATAATGTCAGACCCTTACCTTCTAGAAAACCCAACCTATTCCTTCTCCTGCACTGAGCCCATTGCTCTTGCGCAACCTCGACTGGTCTTGCCCTGGTGGGCCCCATCTGTGGTGGTCTAATGGCTCTTTGAGGTGTCAAGGAACGTGGCGCGAAAGAAGGTCGTTATGCTTTTGAATTATTTTACAACTTATTAGTAACTTTATATTTTTACATTACGAAACGTTAATACTAACATATTTCATTAATGTAAGTACTAGTTTTAACAGAATATATTAATCGAAGGGTGGAATTTATAATACAACTTACCTTCAGAGGGATTCCAATCAACCATTGCCTGTGGATTGAGTCTATAAAATATTATACGATTTCATATTTCTACTTCAGAACATAGTCATTATATTATTTCTCAAAATAGTTTATCTATACGAAAACAATAGATCAAAAGGGAAACTCGATGTTTTACTAGAAATCCTCATAAAACGTAATTCCTCATTAATAATACATGCTGTATATAGATACGGAGAAAACAGTAACATTTCCAACGCTAGTCCAATAATATAATACTTGACAAAATTTTATTATCATCGTCCTTTGATAAAGAGATCCCTTTTATGATTGGAAAACTGTTGCCTATTTATTGCTGATAAAGCTACCTGAGCGGTACAGAATCACATGTTTGTTTGTTTCCATTATCTGTAACGAGACTCGCGTCAAAGGCCTCGGACATAAACCATCGCGTTACTTAAACTTTATGAGGTCAGGCCTTTAAGTAAGTGGTTTTACTAGTCTCGACCTTACAAAGTCTTTCACAAAAACAGGGAAAACTCATTTTTACCCCCTTACACGTAATCCTCGCCAATTTATGGACGTCATAAATACGAAATATAGGTATATTTTGGGACAAAAAAAAACATCGTCATTTTAATAAAAGATCGTTACGAAATTGTTTAAACTTTTAATTAATTTGCAAGTTAACAGTTGGAACTGAAATAATTGGCGTCGACCTAATTATTGACTTACCTACTCATAAAACGTAACTGTCAGAGAAAACGTAGATGTTTGTAATGTTTGGCCATTGAAATAACTTTGGGCAAATTAAATGACACGTGACTTCGGCTATTTCCGTGTTTAAATTAGAAGGCTAATTAGCTGTGGTGGGAGGGACCGCGTCAAACATGTTAGGTGTTATTTACGTAGAATCCTTTCAGGCGTTTGATTGATTGACCACATTGAATTTCTATGTCGAGTGTTTGATTTGGATACTAATTTTGATTTAATGGTTATACTCGTACCTTACAGTACCTTAGTTATTTACATATATCAAAATGGTCTGTAATTGAAATGTAGTTGCATTACATATTCATTTCGAAAAAAGAATTCTTTCACTAAGAATGTTAAGTATAATTATGTTCTTTTTTCGAATTTGCATAAGTAATTTCCTCCAAACTAAAGTGTTAACAAGTTATAAGTACTTTTCTCTAACTGGACTAGTAAATAGACAGTTTTAACAATAAACAATTCGTTCTATGGTCCATGTTAAAAAAGTTCGTACTTTCTAATGGCCAGTAACAGGCTAAAACAATCATCATCATCTGCCTATTAATTCTCACTAATGAGCAAGGGCCTCTTCTCACTCGGAGAAGGTTTGAGCATTAATCACCACGCTTTCTGAAGGTGGATTGGCGATTTCATACTTATAATTAGAAATTAAAAGTCCAGGTCACAGAAAACCCGCGTTAAACAACCACAGCGTTGTGTTTAGCCGCGTGATTGTGGTTACCGGAGGCTCAATCCTTAAATCTCCAAATCCCTAATCCCTAAAAGGTCGGCAACGCACTCGAAACTTCATCAGGTAATCCGTCTGCTCATTTGCCGAACCATTCACATAAAAAAGATGATTCCTCACGATGTTTTCCTTCACCGATTTTTGTGGTGTGTGAATAATCATAGGAAGTATATATAACTCAGAAAACTCACATTGGTACTTGCCAGGTTTCGAACCCCTGCATGAGAAGCGGGCGCCCTAACCTCCGGGCCACCAAGACTATAACAATCCTTTATGTTTAAAAGCAAATTAAGGCTATTTAAATTGATGTTTTAATTAATTGTTTTCTTGCAGCAGAAAGATCACAATGAAAGCCAGCGCGTACAACGTCTACTTGGGTGTCGTGGCGGCCATGTTGGCTCTACTGTTCGTTACAATTAATGCTGCGCCAATGGTAAGCTAAGTTTTATTGATTTGTTTTTGTTTGGATTATTTATTGATGTTATTAGTTCATTTACCTCTCTAATGATATACATATAAGAACATAAAAATTGAAGTAAAAATATGTAAACTATTTTTTATAGAACTCACTGATAAAACTAATTCAATTTTTAAATATCTTAAATAGATTTCAACTCAGTATTTTTATTGTAATGTTAAAATCAGTTGAAGTAATTAGACCGTTTCGGATAACTCCTGGTTACGAAATATAAGTACTACATATTTAACCTCTTTTAACAGGCCTAATAATTGGTTAATGTATTCTACATTAACGCGTTATCTGGGACTTTTACATACTGTCAATTCACAGCCTATATTAGGGTTTACAAAGTAGCTTTTAGCCCAAACTGATAATGTAACGATATATTATTAATCATTATTACTTGTCAGCAATAAAGTTTTCAAGTGCGATTATGTGGCTTATCTAAATACAAATAGAGCACATATACGTGCTCAAAAATCAGATGTAGGTATATGTAGGAAGATGGGTTACTATTTATTAAGTATCAAACCAAAGTAGGAAGGTGTTCAATTAGGCTTTAATGTAAAAATAATAAAGAGGAGTTAAGGAGCCGTCACTTCTCACACAACGAGTCCAATATTACGTTAAAAGTAAATTAACTTAAGAGCTCCTATAAGGTCTGCCCTTTAGGTCAATTTGCTAAACGAAATTTCTAAGAGCTCATTTTACACTTTATGTAGCGGATACTAGAAGGAAACAGGAAATTATTTCAGTGACGGCGACTCGTGAGGGAAAACAGGCTTATTTAATTACACAAATGAATGTGGTCAAAGAAAGAACATGTCGTTACGAAGAATAATTAGATTTCGGAAGCTTTTTGAAGTGAGCAATCAGATGGCGAGTGTTGTGTGTGTGGGATTTAACGAACCGTTGGCGATGTCTCTAATGTGTGGCTAATGGGTCGATGTACTTGTGAGAGGCAGGTCGGTTGGGTACATACACTGAAGTGGGTGGTGTTTGTTCAGGAGGCGGATGAGGAGACGGCCGAGAACACTCTAGTGGCGCATCCGGACGCAGACATGGAACTGTCAGGCCCGTGGGATGCTATCAACACTGCCGCTCTGCGCAAACTGCTGCTGCAACTTGACGCTGAGGAGAGGTAAATATATCTTTATTTGTCTTTTCGTGTAATGTACTGGATAAGAAATACACATGTCAATCTTCTTAGTTTGGTTACAAAAAGATGTTGCTATGGCTCGTAGTTGAAAATACATAGGTAAACTTTATGTATTGATAGTGTATAGTATTAAATAAGTTCATGTTTGTATTAATTACGTATCAGAGAGCCGAATCAATTTACTTTGTCAACAAAACCTTCACGCAGGCAAACGTAAACACTGGAAAAGTTACAAATAACAATATATAATGTTCAGTTATCAATAATATACATAAAAACAACATAGTTGGTTAGGTAAAACTTATAATTAATTAAACTGGAATTTAAATTTTAAATTACTTAGCAGCAAAGTTGTGTAGTTTGAGAAACTGTTTAGCAAATAGTTAGGCAACTACGAATGTAGAACAAAGAGTGAAGCGTCCAGTCGGCTAGTCCAAGAGCTTATGTTACTTTGTGTTTAGCTTGCCCCACCCGCCATTAAGTAGTAGGTAGTCGTCTACAAACTACAGGACGAGTCGAGAACAACCGGACCTCAGTCCTAAACAGCTGCCACCCTAAATAGAGAAACAATGGTTTGCAAATTGAATTAATTTGACAAAACTACGAAAGGACAACGTTGTTCGTGTAAGACTAAAGAAATAAATAAATACTATTTTATTTATCTCGTTACTATATATCGAATAGTTTCGTTCTTTTCTATTTATTTAGTTTTCTTTTTTTGTATCTTCTCCGATCGTCGGTGTGTAGAGAAAATATATTAAGTTAGACCTTTATTCGTGTTCTATGGGCTGGATAAATAATGACTATAGCTTACATAACTTTTAAAGAATGTCTTCATAACTATGAATCGCTAACGTGTATCAGTTTTGTAACATAACATCAGTTTTTTACCGTTTTGTTGCTTATACAGAAGCCCTTAAATCAATATTTTTTCTACACAAACAAAAAAAAGAGATAAAAATTTGTTCAAGAGTTGCATTTTACTGTTATTTTTAAATAAATAATTGGATCAAAAAATGTCTTACTGAAAAGCAGTAATATCATTTAACAATGTAAAAAATTGGTACAAGTATTCAATACTTATTAGGTAACGAAAATCGTACATACCTACATATTATGCGACATGTACACAAACACGTTGAAAATAAATTAGAACGTCGTGGTTAGTGCCACTTATAGGGATTTATTGTTTACAATGGCTCATGCACTTCCCGTCCAATTAAGCCTGATTGATTCTGCTGCATACTCGTTATATAACTTTAGGGTCGCTCTAACAAATTACAGAAGAGTGAAACATATCGAAGTTTGAAGACTTACACAATATTTTTTTCAAACAATGTTTTTTGGTAATACTTTAAAAGAACATGGACATGGCAAGAATATGTCAAAACCGTTAAAAATAAAAATTGCGGCGCCCACGAATACTTTTGTGAATTGTTTAAGTGACAATGTCCATGATGAATTTGCACTACTTTTTACTTCCAATAAAGAATTAAACATTATTTCTCGAAGAAATTGACAATTACTTAGGTATCTGCAAGCTATAATATTTTTTTTTTATTATTATTTAATAGGTCAGCAAACGCGCAGACGGATTACCTGATGGTAAGCAATCAGCGCCGCCCATGGACACTCGCAACGTAAGAGTTACGAGTGCGTTGCCGAACTTTTAGGGATTAGGGATTTGGAGATTTAGGGATTTAGGAGGAATTGGGGGAGGGGAAGGATTGGGCCTCCGGTAACCTCACTCACACGGCGAAACACAACGCTGTGGTTATTTCACGCCGGTTTTCTGTGAGGTCGTGGTATCACTCCGGTCGAGCCGACCCATTCGTGCCGAAGCATGGCTCTCCCACACTTGAATATAGCTGTTGGTACGTATCAGTTAATCAAAAAACAAACAAACTTGTAAGCAACTAGCTGTGTCTCGCGGTTTTTGTTACGTACTCGTAGATAAAAACTAACAAGCCTATGATGACAGGATATTATAGTTACCTTATATTGATAAATGTTTTAATGGTTATTTTCTAAGTCCTCTTCAATCGAAACAAACTGTCATATCGTTCCTCTGTGTAATATTAGTATACATAGTAGAAGAACTAATGTACCGCGGCCCCAGCTCAGGAACGGAATGGTTTTTAGTCAATAAGAGTCTGACATTCCTCTCTCTTTCTTTCTCTATCTCTGTCTCTCTTGCCCAAAAATATAGTAAAAACTACAAAGAAGTGACTTACGTATATAACTACTAGGTACAATCACCCAGTAACTAAAGGTACCCAACAACAGATTTGCACAACAAAATAAACTGTGGCTTTATAAAACTTGTACCGACTTTACAAGCGGTGAATTGTAAAACAAACGAGATTGAAATTGCTTTTTTAATTCCGATTGACTTTTTATACCTACATTTTATTTCTTCTGTACAGTGGTTGGGGGACCGTTAGTACTAAATAATGAACAAATGAACGATAAACAATAATTATTAATCAATAACTTACCTTTTTAATTAAGATTTTGATGTCAAGGCTCTTGTTTTTAACAAAGGTTTTCCTTATCGAGATATTTATTGTTAGATACATTTCTTTAAGGCTTGGTTTCAGATATTATTATTGTAGTATGAATTGTAAACTTTTGGTTTAAAAAAAATTAAATACATGTCACACAATCTACAAACAAGATACTTGACTTTTGATCTACCTATAATTATACACAATCTCAGTTCGATCAAAAATTCTTTATCATAAACTACTTTAGCAACTTTTCGCACAATTAAGTTGGACAGCTCTAAATAGATTTAGGTACCTATTAACTGTAAGTCTAAAAATATTATTCAAATCATTTTAATAAGTAAAAAAAAATACAGACGGTAACACCTACCCTACTTCAATCTTATTCATTCAATATATTTTAAACTTTCTTCCAAAATCATAAAGTTGAATATTTATTAGAAAAGTTTTACAGACTGGACTTACTTCACAGACTTAGCTTACGGACTAAAATTGTTGTAGTGTAGGCGTACATATGTCAAATATATAGATTTTCAATCGTTTTAGGTAACAATGAAGTCTAAAATCGTCAAATAACTAATCGCCTTAAATTCATGTTACCACTTATTTTATTTTCCATTATTTTAGGCGTCAAGGCCATATAAATATATACAAGACTATACTATACCTACCATACAACTTCATATATACTATAAATATATATGTATAACAATTAAACATGGTTTAATTAATGTACACAAATTGTCGGCGTCGTGTTTCGCGCCTGCACATTTGCATAGCTAATAATAATGACTTTAATGACAGGATGGGCAGGGTGACTCGCTCATGGCCCCAGGCTGAACCCCGCGGCTGGGGTCTTCGGGCGCTTGACAGCCGTCTGGCGCGGCAATGGAGGGCAGACAAGCGACAGGTGCGCTTCCGCCAGTGCTACTTCAACCCAATCTCCTGCTTCCGCAAGTGAACACCACCAACTCAACGACGCATCGACCCTATGACCTAGTGTAACAAAAACGAACAAACGTCGTCAAGATTCAAACTTAAAAAAATAGAAAAAAAATTGCGTACAACGGCCACATTGTGAAACGACCAAAGCAAGTCAAATTATTTTTTACCATCTAAACTATAAGCTGTATAGTATAAGGAGGCGTTTCATAATGAAGTCGTTGTCTAAAAAAATTATGATTGGCAAGCAATGTAAATACATTCTGTAACCATTTTAATGTCAGTTAAATTAAAGTATTAATAATTATTGTAATCGATACTTATTTTTCTCGCAAATGTCAGGCTTGTTTGGACGAGCTCATAAAAAGAATATATGAAAATAAAAAATGTTTACTAAGTATCCCATTTATAGATTATCCCTTGATTTTCTGATGTCCAAGACATTATAAAAAGCTACCCTTTCATCCATCTAGTAGATCGTGTCTAGTCATTACGTATAATGTCTATCTAGGTCGTGGAAAATATATTGTAGGGTAATTAAAACTTTTTATTTAAAATCCTCCTTAAAAATAATTTAGTAAAATATTATCGTTAGTCTGAAATATTGTTTCTCTTTAACCTTTCTCTACCTATATATTTACATTATATTGTCTACATTATAATAAGTATACCACTTATACATTATATATAAAATCTATTGTAGATAAGTGTTATTATTAATAAAGATAATCGATGAAATAAACTTTTGTTTGTCTAATACATGTTTTATTTATAAGTCATTAAATGTTACGGCTTTTTGAAGGAGGGAATCATCCAATGACCCTCTTTGGTTTGAAATGTTGTTATACGCTGTTCACCGGCAGATGGCTCCCCTGGGGTACATCATTTCCCAAGCGTAGTTTCACACATGACAACACCCCACGAGTCAATCTGTCACGTGAGATACCCACGTGACTTGTATAGTCCCCTCTAACCTCTTAAAGTTCCCCGGTCGAGGTGAAAAGGCATATCTCTTACTGGCTAAAAACCACCCCGTCCCAATTCGAACTCCGAGTCAAGGCGCGGTAGGTACGTTACCGCGCTTGACAAAGGATTCAGATACATTCTAATCTAGATCTAACTAACTAAGAAATAATAGGCTGAAAAGATTCAGATTACCTTCTTAATTTTGGCAGAGACAATGTTCTCTAGATACACTAACTCAATAACATTCTTCCGTCCTTGCTGCCCGCCTTCAGATCAGTTATTTATCCGCAAAATAATTTAGGCTTCAGCATTATGTTAGTTCATCATATTTTGATTTTTTTTTTTTTTTTGGTTAACGAGAGGGTGTATCCGACATTTACTGACTAAATACCACCTCATTCCTTCTCCTGCTCCAGTTCGAAGCCGCGGGACATACGTCGTAACGTTTGACCCACAACAACCCTCCTACTTAGTTATCACTTGCTTCCGCCCACGTCCTCGCCCGCATGGTATGTTAATAAAAAGTAGCCTATATCCTATTCCGGAGTAGATCCTATCCTGTGCTAAATTTCATCCAGATCCGTCCAGCCGTTTTGGGGTGATTAAATAACAAACATCCAAACCTCGTAACTTTAGCATTTATAATATTAGTAAGATTCTATTAAGCTGTCGAGGTCTCTAAAGCGAAAAAAATCGTTTCCCTTAAACTCCAGTATCAGAATAATAATGGAATTGTGCATTAATATAATTAATTCTATAAGTTGGCATTCCGGATCTATAAGCAACTAGCAAGCTAAGATGGTCGCGTTAACAGTGTGATTTTCTTCACTGATTACTAAATACTAATGATTTAGTAGTTTTGTAAAAACCTCGATCCTGAATACGATACTACAAGGAACTAAAGTGACTTCCAAGTGCCTTGTCACCACTCCTATTGTATGTGTATATTTGACCATACAATAAATACGTCACCGGTCGCCAAATACGGCATATTAATTATACAGCCATAATTTTTGGATGCATAGAAAACGGCATATGTGAAAACGGTGGGATGTGTGTGCAACCAGGACACTGGCCCTCATTCCACATTTTACCCAATTATAATAGTTTTCTTAATGTATGTACATTTAAATTGAAAACATAACATTTTGTAATCGGTTTTACAGAACTACAGAACAAGTCAAATGCGTAATATTTGAACTACCTGAGTCAGAGTATCTTAGTAATTCAGGCAAAAAGGTACCATTACAAATTGTGGAAAGGATTTTAACATTAATTCACTGGAAGAACGAAACGGCTCAATTCATTAAGATGTTCAAAGTATTTTCTATTTGGTAAACAAAATTCCTTAAAGAAAGTAAAGTTCTTGTAGCACTTAGTAGAAATTTATTAAAAAGCTTAAATATGCAATTGTATAAGGAATAGCAAAACTCAGATAAAGAAATTTATATTTGAAAAACACGCACTAACTCATTACACGTGGTTAACATATCAAAAAACACACATACACATACATTGTAGCGACGTAATACCCATGTACCGGATGGATACGTATCATAAATACTATCTGCTTTGGCTTCATTTATACATACCTATATATTATACAATTATATTTCTCTTATAATATACATAAGGTAATAAATATTCTAAATGCCAATAAATATTCTAAAATATAGGTAAACTTGCTTAATTCGTACCTGCGCCTAAATCGTACCTCGTCTATATCTCGGCATGGGTAATAGTTACCAGCGCCTCTGATGGCATAAAATGTCAATAATAGTCGGCCAGATTGCCATATGACAAATAAACACCTGTTACGTTGCTCCCGACAAAATATTGAACGGGTAAGTTTTTTCTCGCTTTTTCTCACATTTTGCGTAATTTTTTTGGATACTTCACAAGAACTGTCTTCCAAGTATACCGTTCATAAGTTGTTTAACTGTTTATTATATATTTATACGTATATTTGTGAATATATTTCACATGGTAAAGCCGGCTTGTTCGTTGACAGTTTTTTTTGCGGCTAACTTGAAATTCATTTGATACTTGTTCCTAATTCGTACTCGCAGCAACTTCTTAAAACGTACGTACTTACGATTTAGGAAAACAATGTTTATTATCACAGTAAGTATTAATTACTTACTTGATTATTTTTTAGGTTGTGTTTTTATTTAATAAAACTAAAAAAAAACATTATTTTATGCAGTAATTGTGAAGTATGGGTACATGAGCTATGTGCAAGACGAATTTAAAAGAACGAAATTGTATTACTGCGATGGCTTTCAAGATTTGGAAAAGACCATCCGCTGTATTAATAAGAATTAGGTAATCTAGGTACATTAAGATTAAAAACAGTAGAAGATTATTAAGATTGTGCTTTTTAAGACTGTAAAACAATGATAGGATCTCAAAGTACGATTTAAGAATATACTGGTACGATTTAAGATCAATGGTCTTAAATCGTACTTTTTTTAAGTTTTTGAAAATTGTTTATTTCTCAGAAGTTTATAAGATTTATGTTATTTTTTATCGGAATACTAATAGAACATTAGTTTAATTATAACTACTTAATATAAATAACTGTGCATCATTGTTCATTTTCAAAATTTTCGAGGTTTTCCTTAAGTGGTACGAATTAGGCAAGTTAACCTACTTACTTGAACCAAGGAGGCCCATTTCTTCCCCTCTCCCCCCATGCTCAATCCCCAAATTCCCTATCCTTAAATCCCTAATAACTTACAAGAGGTCGACAATGCACTTATAGTAACTCCTTTGGTACTATGAAAATTCATAACAGATATACAGACAGATAGACAGAGATAAAAAATCGTTGATTTCTTACCATCAGTTTATCCATCTGCTCGTTTATTTATAATTATGACATAAAAACCTTAGGGGTCTCCTAGTTTAAAGCCGTATAACACCTAGTTAAACATTACTTAAAGTGTGGACATAAATAAATGATTTTGTATAACTATTTAATTATTACTGGCTGGATAAATAAAATATCAAATTACTTGACGGGGATTCACAAGACCCCCAAATGTGGCTGCCGAACCATCGTATAAGTTTTATTTTGAAATACAGAAACTAATGAATCTGAAATAGAATAAGAAGTTTAATATGAAGGTTTAGTGTGATTATTTGTCAATTATGATGTAAGAGATGAACCTCAGCTGGGGCGACAGCCAGGGTGTGAGAGCCATCAGTGGGTTTTCCCCATATCAATATTACATTAGTAAAATGCTACTTACTATAAAACGCACCCCGATCCATCGTATTTGGTTCCAAAATCACGATATAACAACATGTAACTTTCTCTTCGATGCAATAGGTTTGATTCTATTAAAATGGAAGGGTCCGGTTGTAAACAAATATACCTTTAAAAAAAATTATATAACTTATTATTGGTGTCCCTCAATATTTTTTTTACGATTCTTCGATAAGTTTTAGGTACAAATTTTTGGTAAAAATAGAGAAAACTACTTGTAACCTAACGAAAACTTTGCTGCTGTGCCATCGTCTGTCAGTCCTTTATGCTACGAATAGGCTGCAATAAAATTATACACACGGCAGTATCAGTTACGTGTCTATCAAAAAACCTCCTGCACCAACAGTTGACGTGTTGGCTGGGCAGTCGGCTGTCGGTTCAATAGTTGCACGAACCAACTCTTCGATCCAAATTCGTTGTTCATTGTTTGAGTGTGATTTATGAAAAATTGTATGTTTGTTAACGAACCACGACATCGGAGAATATCCTAGTGTGTGGCAACGGTTTTATAACAAAACTCTTCCTTTGAGTGAAAGTAGCCATAATTTTGCTTTTGAAAAGAGGCTTATTATCTTTCTAATATTCAATAGCAAAAATTACTTACACGCGCGACCTGTATCTTTGCTGTGACGTCCATGGACCCAGGTTACCTATTGAGCTATTTATTATCTATGAATCGGAAAATCAGCTAATATGCCAATTATCCGCGGGGGTTCGATCCGGGGTCGCGTCATGGCAATCATGTGTTATTTTGCCATAATTATCCAGCTCGATTTCTGAAGTAGGTAACTACTAAATAGATAAAGAAAAACATGATTTCAAGATCATTTACTTCATAAAAATCTATTCATCTTCATATCCTTTATAAAGTAAGTAATTGCTGATTAGATTTGTCCAGAAAAAGCTTCTAGTAAAAGCAATTCCAACTCCAAGTTACATTGATTTACTTCAATATGGATACTTATGATACGTTGTTGTTTTGTATAAAAGCTCGTAGCACCGCCTACACGCTTCGTAGCTTCGTAGCCTTGTTGCAACTATTTAATTAGTAGCTTTCCATCACGTAGCAGCGCCTACGCGCCTACAGCGTTGCGAAACTTCATAGCGTTAAATCGACATCATCCCAAAGGTGACTTGAAATTTTTCACAGTTACTTACTTGCAAAATACTTTGCAAAATTACTTCTAAAGAAACAATCGCCCTACACTAACAATATATCAAGCTTCATTAAACACTATAAATTTGTAATGAAATAATTCAACTAACAGGCTAATCATAAAACCATCATCATAAAATGATTTGACATTCTTCGAAGTATTAAAATTTAAAGTCGAGTCCCTTTGGGAGGCAAAAACTTCGTTAAGGTATTATTGGGGTAAAATACAAACTAAGTGGGTTGCTTAAATATGTAACTTTGCTAATTTAAGGCCATTCACGTCGTTTTATGTAGTAGGTATCAATCAGTTAAGACAATTTCTGCAGGTTCATTCTTCAGGTTCATTTTGAATTCTGACAAACCATACATTTGTTACCACGTGTGTTACTGTGTTACTAAGTGTGGGAGAGTCATGCTTCGATATGCATGGGTCGGCTCGACCTGAGTAATACCACTGTCGCACAGAAAACCGACGTGAAACAACCACAGCGTCGTGTGAGTGAGGTTACCGGAGGCCCAATCGTTCCCCTACCCCAATCCTTTCCCAATCCCTAAATTTCCCAAATCCCCCAAAGGTCAGCAACGCACTCGTAACTCCTCTGTTGTTGCGGCTGTCCATCAGCGGCTCCGATTACTTAAGTAATCTTTAGCCGACCTACCACATAAAAAATAATACGTCAAAGAAGACCCTACTATGGCTCCATATTTTCGTTACTAAGATCCGCTGGGACTCGAGGTTGCGCTCCACAAGTTCGAGGTCATGTGTTTTCATGGTTGTCCTGGGTGGTAAGGCCAAAATTTAAACAAGAGGGCGTCTCGTCCTTGACAAGCAGTAGAACTTCGCGGAGCACTACTAACTAGTGGACCTGAGCTAGCTGGAGTACCCGGTGGGGCCGCGCCTTGCTGAGCTCAGCACTACCTTGTCCCCAACTGTCACCATCCTCAAGCCCGGCCTTCGTCCAGCCATCGTGCAAAACCAGAGAAACTAAAAAATCTCCTTGAGCGCCGCAATCAACGCGCTGCTTATGTGTTACAAAAAATTCCATTATTACATTATTATTACAATTAGAGTTTGATCATGGAGACAAGTAAAAGTATTATGGGCAAATGTAAAACTACAAAAAATACCTATTAAAAAGTGTACATACTTACTGAACTACGATATCTAGTTTACTTTTTCAAGTGTGGAAGAGCTTCGGCACGAATGTGTCGGCTCGACTGGAGTGACACAACGGCCTTATAAAACACCGGCGTGAAACAACTAGGTATAGCGTTGTGTTTTGCCTCGAGGTTACCGGAGGCCCAATCCTTCCCCTACCCCAATCCCTAAATCTCCAAATCCGTAATCTCTAAAAAGTCGGCAATGCACTGGTTATCATTGTGTTGTCCTTTGGTGTCCATGGGCAGCGTGATTGCTTACCAACAGGTAATCCGTCTGTTCGTTTGCCGACCTATAACTTTAAAAAAGTAACCTGTTTTTGCTATTTCAGATTTTACAAAGCTATTTTCTGGCTCGTTAACATTGACTCTAGAAAACGTTTAAAATTATTATATCATTTTAAACCAAAGCCGGTGTATGTTACAGGTACGAGTATCCGACATACGTTAGAAAATAATTTCAGCATAGGAAAGTTACAATAATTCCTATTATTCCTGGATTTTGAACGGAACTTTGGCTTGTTGTAAAAACTTTTAATGATCGGACTGTCACAGAGTCACGTGCCCGAATTTCACGTTCCACAATTTTAGATTTAATAAAATACTTGACCCACGTGGAGTTGCGTGATGATTATTTTAAACACTAACGTAACTGAAAGAGCATAACGTTTATGCTCTTTTTTTCTTTTTTTCTCTACAAATGACACGTAGCTTCTATTAGTAGGTTGTCGACCAGCTGCACATGGTTTTCTCTGATATCATTTAGGTACTTCTTAAAGTATCTGAAAGTGATTGATGGAATCTAAAACTTTTCAAGTGAGTCAAGTCTGTTGAGTAGATGGCCAATTAAATGATTCCCTGTAAAAACTTGGGATGGTTAAGTTTAAATACGTAGTATGTACATACATACTTTAATTTGTAAACGAAATTTTAAGCTGGCTGTTCTCTTTCTATACTCTGCTTACCAGGTACACCCTACCCTACCTAGCCGAGCAAATTCTTTTTCCACACAAACTTTTTCATCACTTTTTAATCCACCGCTCATTCTTTATATTATTTCCCTAAAAAACATTTTAGTTATATTTTTAATCTATATGAATTTCGAAATGTAAATGCCAAACTTTGCGCCAAAAAATAGTTTTGCAATTTGCATTTTGTCTATGATCATCTAAAAGCCAGCCAAAGATTAAAAGCAGCAAGCCCGAATCCGTCAGTGAAAGAAGAGATGTGAATATTTTTCTGTGAAACTGTCTATCTGACTTGTAAAGTTTACTTAGCGCCGAAATTAAAACTTTGACGCAAACTTTAAAAAATATGTAAAAATGGCAGACGAGCTGCTCCCAGACAGTGCTACTCAAACACAAACGCAGAATTCACAAATTGACTGGAGTCAGCACAATACACCGTCTTATATTCCTACTATCTGGGGAAGATTGTACTCTACAAAAATTACTACAACAGGGAGGCACTGCTGGTCAAATTCCCGACGTCCTGAATATTTCGGTAAGTAAAAGTTATTCTATAATGAATTCTCGTCGTTACGAAAGTTTATAACACATCTTTCTTTAAAATCCTTAATAATTGTATTCAGTATATTTTCGTTCCTATACCATGTAAAACTTGTATATTAAACCGGAAATATAGCCAGTAAACTCTTAAAAAGGACAAATAAATGAATCGCAAAAGTTGATTACCTCATATTTCTACCCTCTTAACAAAAATACAAACTTATTTCCAAAATACATTACCCATGAAACTGGTACTCCCAAAGCAGGCTTACGAACAGGCCTTCGACCACCTTTGTCACCCCAATCACAATGTTTGATTAAGTTTATTCTATTTTGATTGATTAGCTAACATGCTTCTTATGTGGAATACAGTAAAATATGACTGTGTCAATTCAAAGATAGCAAGCAGCTTTACATCTATTGTAATAGGGTTCTTGATTAAAATTATTATACTTTTGGGATAGTATGTCAATATTTTTAAATAATTCATAATCTCTCCATCGCTACACAGATCTCATTCAACCAGAGTTTACTGTGGGCAGAGCCCTAACATGCAGCTATCCAGTGAAAAGAGATGTTATCAAGGAGTCCATAATCAAAAATATCAGCAAACAACAATTTAGAATCACAAGAGATATGTCGTAAGTATCTGTTTGTAATTTGTATTGAAGTATTATTCAATATTTAAACCTCTATTCCTCTTAACTGAAGGATATAACCACTACCATCAACAATGACAAGTTTTCAAATTAGACACTGCCATTGAGCAGGGGTCTGAGGAGAGCTAAAATTAACTTTATTATAAAAACACCTTCATTGTGTACACTACCATACATAACAGCATTGGTCTTTAACAAGAGCACAGCATTATAGAGTTGATTGCTAGTAAAAACGGACTTGGTATGCAATATCTCATTTGTCATATTCTCAAGATAATCTTTACAAACTTATTTTTTACAGTGAGCCTCTATGTCCAGCTATAATAACTGATTTGTCATACAATGGTACTTTTGTCAATGGTGAACTAATCGGCAAAGGAAATTGCCGAGTATTGGATGACAATGATGAAATAGCCATCACTCATGTATTTGTCAAAAGTTAGTATCTTTATTTATTTAATTTATATTACCTTTTTCTTCTGAAAACTGTGTCCATATTTTTAATGTTGTATTATGGTTTTGTTTTATTTTATTTCCAGTTTTTATTTTCAAAGACTTGTTGAAAAACGAGCAAGATCAAGTTCCTAAAGAGATATCAAAGAAGTATTATATCTCAAGGACATTGGGCCAGGGTGCCTGTGGCTTAGTCAAACTCATTTATGACAAAGTAATTCTCTTTTTTTTATGATTTATCTTTCTGTAGATGCATGAAATATTGAAAAAAAAATACATAAGCAGAGCATGATATTTTACTATTGTAACTGAATTAATTTTATATCATAGCTTTCTTACAAACTAAATATAAACAAAGATTTATGTTGCGATTATTGTTTTACTTTGTTAGAAAACAGAACTTTTTATTCCAGGTTAAATGTACAAAATATGCTATGAAAATAATTAAGAAAAGCAGACTGACAAATGGACAAATAAACCATTTGAATGATCCTGAAAAGATCATGAATGAGATTGCCATTATGAAAGCTGTACAGCATGTAAGTAGATACAAGATTTTAAAATGCATTATTTTATTGCCATAAGTACTATAAGAAACATTATTTTAGGGTGTAGCTTTTTTATACCCCTATGCCTATTTATGGTTCCAAAAGGTCCATATTGTATGTATGTTTTTCCATAATTACAATAAACATTATTTTATTTCTATTTTAGCCATGTATAATCTCAACAGAGGAAGTATTTGACTCACGTGATGCAGTCTACATAGTCCTTGAACTGATGCAGGGAGGGGAACTATTTGACAGGATCACTAAACAAGGACACTTGTCTGAACAGTTTACGAGGTTCCTATTCAGACAGATGGTGCTGGCTGTGAAATACCTCCACTCTCAAGGCATTACACACAGAGATTTGAAGGTTTGTATGATTCTAACGGAATGTGTAATAGTTTTATTGTAATCCCCTGTTCTAGTTTCGATTAGAAAAGACCTCTTACTCCTAAGTAACTGTTGGTGTTTTTTATGGTTAATCCAAATCCAAATTAATATTGACAATAACTCTTGGTACAGACATAGTTTGAAACTCGGTACAGACATAGTTTGAACTAACTTGGTACAGACATAGTTTGAAACTCGAGAAAGGACATATGACAGTTTGATGCCAAAAATCGAGTCGCGGGCAAAAGCTTGTCTATAATAATTAGTCTTCTTAAAAAAACTTTTTCTGTGATTGAAAATGATGATTGTAATCAATTTCAGCCTGAAAATGTACTACTTGAGAGCCAGGGGGATGACACTCTAGTCAAAATTACTGACTTTGGACTGAGCAAGTTTGTTGGAGAAGACAGTTTTATGAAGACTATGTGTGGAACACCACTGTACTTAGCTCCTGAGGTGCTAAAAGCCAATGGACAGAGAAGCTATGGACCAGAAGTTGATGTTTGGAGCCTGGGAGTAATTTTTTTCGTGTGGTAACTACTATTTACATCAACAAATTAGTTTAGTTTATTATACTCTGTTCTAGATATTTATTTAACATTATTGCTTTACAGCCTAGTCGGCTACCTTCCATTCTCGGCAGATTATAACGACATGTCTCTCAAAGATCAAATTCTGACAGGAAGGTACAGATTCTCTCAAGCACACTGGCGTAATATAAGTTTGCAGGGCAAACTGCTAATGAAGAGAATGCTAACAGTACAAGTTGATAGAAGGATTACACTCAACCAAATTCTGAATCATAGCTGGATGCAGGTAAGAACTGGAATTTTAAGTTAAAGTTAAGTTTAATTAATTATTCAATTACATGTAATTATTATTTATTTAAAGGACAATGATGTTATCATCAGAGTGGAGAAATTACTTTCCCATAAACAAGCAATGGGAATAGATTTAGCCGTTTCATCATCTCATGAAGATGACGAGAATGGCAATTCTGATACTTTCACTGTAATGAGGTTGGTAGCAACAGCAAAGCGGCCTCTGAGCAACAGTTTCAGCTCATGTGAACCTATCCCGAAGAAACTAAGGATTGGTCTATCTGAAAAACATGATGACACAACTTCTACAACTAGCTGTTGCTCTGATGAGTAAGTTTTGATTAAAATCTCTTGACAATTTAATATATTACTGGTTCTAATAATTCTATTGTCATTTTTATACAATAATTATGAAACAAAATGTCTGACTGTACATTCCAGCGCGCAATTTGGAAGTACAATTAATGAATGACGGGTATTTTTGGTTTTAAATACCATTTTATTTTGAATAATTGTTATTTTAATAATAAATGATTACTTATAATTTTGTTCAGTAAGGACATGTGATATTTTTTAATGTTTCTCAATTTTAATTCGTCCAATGTGACATGCTTGTTAAGATATTGCTTGATTTTAAATATGAAAGTGTTCATAAAACTTAAACGACGGATTCTGGAGATATGCAACCAATTACTATATGCGCACAATATTTTCATACCATTTCAATGTAGATGCATATTCCTTCAAAAGTGCCATATTAAGCTTAAGTACTTAAATAAGGACAAGTTTCAAAGTCTGCTGTTGAAGTAAACTATAAAGTTACCAACTCAGTTGTATTTGTGTTAAAAATAATATTTCATAGATCTGCAAGTGGCTAATAATGTGTAATTGAAAGTACCTCTTATTAAACACCTGTTGCTGTTGATTCCTATATAATAAGTTTTATCTGAATGGTCAATTATTTTGTTAAGAACTTGAATCCGCCTCGGATACCACCGCTTAGTTTTATATCATGTTAGTCTGTAAAAGATATTGTTGATTGTTCAAATGGTAATTAGTTTTATACTCAATAAAACGAATGTTATCAAAAATAAATTATATTTTTTATTTCAATTCCATGAGATGCTATGTACACTATTATGTACAAACACAATTAATGCAATTATTATTTATATTTGAAAAAATTTAGACAAAAATTAAATTTATTCAGTCTTCTATGATATTCAATACAGTTTAACTTTGTCTTTCTACAAAGAAATGCTTGGAACAATAGTAAATATAATTAATAACTTAATACAAATTACACACATGATTCGTTCAATTCCTAATTCAAAACATTAACACTATCTCGCCTGTATCTGTTACTGTGAAAGCTCTTCGTCATGTGAGCATCTTTGATGAAGTTGTTGAATAACTTGACATGTGACCTTACGTACGCAATATCTAGTTTATGCATTGAAAAATTATACACGCTAGATGTAATCACAACTTAAGCCTTCATCACAGATACTACCCAAGGCTCACAAACTGTATACAGACGCAAAATTTCGAACAAACTATATAAACATACTCAAGATATTGGAACAATCTGTCGTATCCCTAAAACAGATATAAACAAAAAGTCCAGTTAGTCACGAATTGTCGATACATCTAATGTTGCATTGTACAACATCCATTAGGAACTCAAATTGACAAATAATGTTAAACTGCATGAATATGAACACTGCTCGATAAGGATATTATTTCGTTTCGATAAATAAAAAAGAAATGTGCTATTTTGCCATTTAAATAAATATGTGCTAACATAACAATTGAGGTAATTATAAATCGATACAGAATATGCATTACAGATGAATGAATTTATATTGAATATGTACTTAAATTGATCAATTCTATTCAAATAATTTACATAAATTTAAGAACGTAAACAGCTTGCAATAATTTATAAGTTTTAACAGGCTTTTTTATTAATATATGTAACAGTTGCTACTGTGATGCCTAGTTTCTAACTACTTACAATCACACAGTCGTTTTCCCATTATGACATAACCAACCCACTTTTAGCAATATGCCTTACGACTCAGTCTTATAAAATAATATGCAATAAAATTACTATAATTCTCCCCGTTAAGTATCACGTCCAGAATTGTTCGACGATGGTTACATTGTTGATGTACGATTAGCGTTTGAACAATATCATTTAAGTAGCAGGTGACATCAGATATTCAAACATGCAAAAGAGTTGAATTACAAAGAGAGATTTAAGTATAGTTATTTCACTAGGGCATATTATTATGTCCCTTAATGTCTTTATTCTCCTCTCACTTTCTAGTCACGGAAGTAATTTTATCCAAAGTATACGTTATCTTGTCTTATTCACCCCCACCCACGCCCTCCTGAGCTGCTATATGTGAAGGTTCAGCAGACTGCGCTTCCGCTTCTGTAAAAATGAGAACAAAATAATTTAATAATCTGATAATAATTTTAAATGGTAGTGCGGCCCGACAACCACCAAAGCCACGGTGAGGCAGATGCAAAGTGCTCGGCAAAATAAGCTTTGTTGTACTGAGTTGGGGGACTCACCTACCACGCTACTCTACACTATTTTTGAAGTAACTGAAACAATGTGAACAATTGCTTTCAAAGACAGTAAAGAGCCCAAGCAAAGCCAAAACTATCATATAAAACGTATTTGTTTTAATATTTATTTAGTTGATAAGTAAAGTGTACATTACTCACCAGCAATCGCTCTCTCGACTCTTAATTTATCTCTAACGATGTATATAGCTGTTAATAAGAAGAATATGCCTCCTATGACTTCAACAAAACACGTCACGAACAGCGCATATTGTAGCGCCTTGAACTCTACCAAAGGTGTAGGCGCCTCATCATGTACAGGTGACAACGATTTTTTTAAACTCTCCGATATCTGTAACAAAGTGCAATAAATATTCATATTTATTTGAGAAACGTGATGTTCGTTCTTGAGCAGCGTGCGCGTCGAGGCAACGTTGCACAACCGACACGAAAATGCAAAATTATGAATTAATCGTCACAAGTAAAATGTACTGACGGATTTAGCTATCAAAGCCTATCTTACATACATTCTCATAAGAAATAGTTTTATGTTTTATATTATAATAAAAAAAGAAATGTCGATTTGAAAAATGTTTATCTAGGTAATGTAAACTATTATTTAATTTGTAGGGCATTATTTCACCACGCCAGATTAGCCGCCGTTCACTAGATTTCGAATATAGAATGTAATTTGTAGGAAATTTGTGCCATTTAGTTTCTTCGGGAACTTATATGAAGGTGAAACATGGCCTGAGTAGCACAAAGCTTATTAATTTTATTTTAATAATCTTGTAACACTTACCACACCAACTAAATAAGGACTTCCAGCATCGCCAAACATGTGAGAAATCAGGATTTGGAAAGCTTCTGCTGTAGATCTTCTTGGCGGTATAACCACATACTGTAATACATTCAATAAACACATTAGTTTCAGTTCATTCTATTTTTTGCGTATCACAACACAACACTACGTCACAATCACCAATTTACAACACAGATTTCATGCAACTATGTATTTAGTTAGAATTGTAATATTACAAGTTCTCATATCAAAATTTACTTGGAACTCATAATGGCAGGCTTGTTATAATAATAGTGACTATCTACTTTTGTTATTACGTATTATTATACGTTTCACTTCTAAATAAAATGGATAATACTTTTCTATATCTTTTGAGATAAGCGCCATCTGTAGCGTTTTATAAATACTACTTGCATGCAAACATAGAAAGAATTTAACAGGGAGTACGTAGTGCAAGTTTATACCAACAGATGGCGCTGTTACACACGCACACATTGAAATCGGTCCACCCGGCTTGAATGTTCTAAAAATATTCCAATGAGATAACTTCGGGGAAAGTTTATCACAACTTGGCAATGGTGAGCCGTCAATATGTGCTAATGAGTGACTGATTCATAATATTACAAGCACCATATACAAAGCAATATATACATTTATAATGATGCCTAAACAAACCATGCTGTTTTGCATGCAACTAAATACTTCAACCACAAATAATCCAAGAAAACCACGTCAATTTTGGAAAAAATCTACCAGAAAAATACAAATAAAGTAAAAAGCCACCCTCAATAGGCTGCCACTGGATGCGATCGGTTTTGTATAATAAATTGGTGTAATAGACAAAGCCGACAACAACCCAGAGGCGTCCTTGCGGTTGGAGTCTCTTACCAGCAACATATCGGCTATTATTGCCCAGTTGAGATTCAAAGCGATTTCTCCGATAAACATAAGGGCGAACGGCGCTATGTAGTAGCCCTCGGTGAGGACAATGGCTAAGGTCATGGCGGGCGCGGAGACGAGCAGGCCCAGGCCGCAGATGACGGGGTGCGCCCGCGGCCAGCGCTTGCGCAGCGCCGACCCCAGCCACGCGCCCAGCGGCACGCCCAGCAGCCCCGACACCATCGTGATCACGCCGAACGTTAGCGACACCCTTCGTGCAAAGTATCGGACCAATCAGCACATGCACTATGCGGCCTCAACGACCTCCATACTATATCTCTCCTCTTTACATACTTGACACTCGCACGGTCGACTCATGAGCATATTTTGTTTATGTCCGACTAGTTTTTGTTGCCATCTCAACAACATCCACATGTGCCAATAAACTAGTTGCCATAGTCGAAATATGCGCGTAAGCAAAACCGAAAATCATTCATAACCAAATTTTGTTTTTTCATTATTGCGAATTTTGTGAAATTTCTTTCATTCATGCTAAATGTATTGGTTAGATATAAATATAAATAGCGCTTGTCTTTACTTGATACAATACTAGAATATACTAGTTGTCATGCATATAACTTTTAAAATAAAATGGGTAGTAAATGTATCATGTTTTGAAAATGTAAAATTAAATGTGTAACTGACATGACTGAAGCTTCAGTGCAATAATTATGTATTATCGAAGCGGCATTCTCTACAATTAGCGTTATGATGAGATGATTGTACCGAATCATAAATATCCCACACAGCTCAATTACGTTACAAATATAATGGAGTGTTGCGAATCCGCGTCATCTCATTGGAATATTTTCTCCGGAATCAATTCGAGCCGGTGATCGATTTCTGCTTTAAATAGCCCGCATGCGCTGTCGAGCATGCAAGCCGGGCTCCGGCAACGTGTCCGACTCTGCGTCATCGCTATATTACTCTTCAAACAACAACTGACTACATGACGGCGTGACACTTTGCTGGGGCCCACTAAAGTCAGAAAACGCTCACCAGAATAATATCGGCAACGATAGCCCAGGTTAGGTTGAGGGTGGTCATCCCGACGAATATGAGCAAGTAGCTGAGACCGACGTGGTAGCCCACGGTGATGAGCGCGAAGAAGATGACGGGCGCCGAGGCGAGCAGGCCGAACCCGCAGATGAGGGGGTCGCAGTCGGGCATGTGGGCGCGGAGTCGCTGCGCCAGCCACGAGCCCAGCGGCACGCCCAGCGACCCCGCCACCATGCACACCAGCCCGAACTTGTACGACACGCTGCCACACCACCCTCACTCGTTATTACAACTCTTTCTCTACACGACTAAACTGTCTAGCCCAGTAACTAATGGCCACTAGCCTTGTAACTCAATACAACTGAACATTTACTCAATAATAACATGACTGCGATAGGTAGGTACACAATTAGCTAAAATTTAAAATTAACTATTTTACATCAAACTAGTACAGATCCTAATAGATGTAATGTTTAACACCGTTTCAAGATATCAGTACAATTTAAAAGTTCGTCATGGAAATCGATTCCACGTGGTCACTCTCTTTGCATGTTAGTAGCCCATTTTTTAAAATAATGTTCACAGTTTTCCCTTGTCTGTCAATGTGTTCTCTACAGTTTCTAGGTGAGGTTGTTGGTTCTCGACTTACCCGCCAATGCTAACATCTACGTCGGGTTGCATGCTAAGTCCCAGGAATATGAACTGAGGTCCCCACCACGCGAGCGCGCCTGTCACGAACGCTACACATGTAAATGCGAGCGTCGACAGCATGAAAGATGGGCTGGAACATTATAAATCCAATTATTATCACCAAATTACAGAAAAAAATACATTTCGAAAGAAAAAAACTTATACGGATGTTAAGAAATTGTTCTTATCATCTGCTAAAACACAGTGGCAGATGGTCAATCATATTGATGAAGTTTATAAACCAGGTACCTACCAAATTCTAATGCCAGTAGGTACTAGTTCTAGTTTAGTTAGTTCGATCTCTAACAGAATATTACAAAGAGGTAAATTTATTAAGTTTGTATGTAGGGGATAATCTTTGGAACCGCTGGTCAGATTTCCAAAATTCTTTCACAGATAGCTGCAGTATTCCTACGATCGCTATAAACCGCTGATCTTTAAAAGCTACTGTTTTAAAAAAAACCGAGGTACATATGTACATACTTTTATACGCGGGAGGAAACTAGTTAAATAATACAGGTAACTTACTTTCTAATGAGAGCTCGGATGTCCTGCCTGTACGAGGTGGGTTTCATTTGACTGTCCTCAGCATGTCCTCGAGGCGGGTCTTGCATAAAGAAGTATATGAGTACTAAGGCAACAGCACCAAGTATGGGCGTGATACGGAGTCCCCATCGCCAGTTGCCCGCTGCAGCTCCAGCTAACGACCCCACTATGTAGCCGAGACCACTGGAAACAATAAAACAAGGGTAATATTAAATTATGTACATACACAAAAATTTTACGTTCTTTGCGAAGTGCAGTCATTTGATCTCCCGTACAGAAGCAAAGACATCTTTAATTTATTTTTATAACCTTTAAAAGTCAGGCATCAAGACCCATATACATAAAAATAAACTAATATTATAAAGAGATAAAATTTGTAAGTTTGTATGTAGGGCATCTTTGGAACTCCGCTGGTTGGATTACCAAAATTCTTTCACTGATAGATAGCTACAATGTTCCTGAGTGCTATAGGCTATAAAACATCACGCTAAGATCAAATAGAGCCGAGCATCGGGTGAAACCGCGCGAGAGAAGCTAGTATATAATAGTATACTACAGTAAAACTTAATAAATAGTTAAATGGTACGCCCTGCGTTTAGCTTGGTCACAATGCCCTCATAGCAGATTGTTTATATATTTACTAGCTTAGTAGTTTTTCATCGCCATGAGCGTGCATTAGCACGCTCAAACCCTAAACCTTAGCTTAAACCTAAATTCAAACCTTCTTCCTCAAGAATCTTTTCAAACTCATGAAGTTTTTGGTCTTTTGCTTTTGTGTGGTAAGTAGATGACACGAGGATAAATATGTAGGTCATATGTATTACTTAATGACACATCGAACTTGAAGTCTAGTAAACAAACAAAAGTCTGAACCTAAGGGAGACCGTACCTACATATTCTGACTCATCGATCGAAGGCAGACATTCAGCCGCCAAAACGCGACGACTTCGAGTTATTTCGTTGCCAAAACAGAGATAATACCGAAACTAAATGTCATAAAAGCATGTCCGCTTTGACCCTGACAATAGCACCAAGTAAATGTATAAACTGGCAGGTCAACATTTTCATTAAGAGATTTTTAGCTTTATACTAAGTAATAATAGAGTTGAAATTCTTGGACTGATTGAAGTATGCTGATATGCTAGTCTAGTTCTGATAGGAATCAAATTAGCCAATTCTGCAAACAAGGCTTATATTATAAACACGTTTCTATTTAATGTAATTTGAAACATGTATCACATGTTTGTCCTAAAAGTTTAATTACGATTTGAATTAATGATGCGTCAGATAGAGAAGCTAAATAAACAAAAAATTTACTATTTGACTTCATTCATTACTTTCTTTTGTAATGTTTGTAATGCAACTGTCTAAAATAATACTCAAAATTAATATAATATAACTTTGTAAACAAACAATAAAACTTTTAAACTTATCCTCAACAAGTTCTTAGTCAAAAAATGGGCATGATTCACTTTTTCCTTCCTATATCTTTAGAGAAAAACAAGTGAAGATTACGTCAATATTTGTCTTAAACTTTCCGTTTTCTTATTGGGCTATTTTGTCCACCATACGTTACTGAATGCGTCGTATGGGACAATGGAAAAGGGATCCTATTAACTCAACAGCACCTAGGTCAATTGCGTTTATATTAATATGTAAGTGACAACATTGGAAACACGTGTTTTCCCATGCCCCACAAACATAACATTTACTTTTATGTAAGCACATAAATACACCGCAAACCTATGGCTTTTCCAAACTTCTTAGAGGATAAAATTAGGAAATCTTTTTGCTAACCGCTGAATAAAATTAAGTCGTAAGTTGAGCACAGTAAAACCGCATCAAAGTGACGCAGTTCCAAAACTGTATTTGATGTCACACCAACGCAAAACACGATGCGCAATCTTCCATCTCACCCACTGGTGAAATTATTAATCATACAGCTTCTACGGTTTATTTTCTTATTAGGTTTCTCTGAATTAATATTAGTATTATACTGTTCTCACTTAATCAAACCAACTAAATAATGTACCATAGAATTTATATATGAAACTGATTTAAAAAGAGTAACTTTGTAGTTTTTTGCTTGTTCTTCTCCATCGGAATCCACACTTTGGAACAAGCAAATAGCTTCACTAAGAGGACTGACCGACAGACTGAAACTTTATATCTTTAAAATTTTGTTTGACGTTCAAAAGTGCATGTAAGGGTCTAATTGAAATATATGATTTAGACTTTGAGTTTCACTAACAGTTCTATGTTATAAAAACGTATTTATTAAAAAAGACTATTACAGTGATAGTTACCTTCCAACGGGAATAGCGAAGTAGAAGAAAGCCAACATCTTTGATCGAATATTGCCGACGAAAAGGTCACTGATGATGGTCGGCGCAATCGTAGAGTACGAAGCCTCGCCGATGCCCACCAAACCACGGAAAAATGTGAAAAACGCGAAGTCCTAAAAATGGATAAAGCTGATTTTAGTATCACAATATTTCCATGGTTAATAAGATACAGATTGATGATGAAATCATACGACCGTTCTAAATCATCTGCTACCTAAATGATTGGTCACGCTGATAAGTCATTGTACCCACCATCATAGGTATAGTACAATTAAGAATAAAAAAACAACTTACGTGTGCGAAAGATCCTAATAAAGTGGTCATGCTCCATAGTCCCACTCCAAACGACATGATGACACGTCTCGAGTACCTGTCTCCAAGGTACCCAAAGATCGGCGCGAAGACCATATACGCGACCACAAATACTGTCTGTAGAAACCCGGCTTTGTCATCTCCGATATCGAACTCTTTTTTGACGTCAACCAGAACACCTAAAAATAGATAATGAAAACATTAGTCATACTGATTATATTTATTTACAGTTTATCTCTAATTAATCGCAACGTGTTTTGGTCAATGGTGCGTCTGAGTGGCGTGATTCTACGCACACATCCGAGGCTCGGGTCATGTGCGTACGATCAGACGATTACGACTTATTTAGCAATAATAATTCAAATATTGTTGTTTATTCAATTACAGGTCAGACGATGTCAATATTGACATCTGATTAATAACAATGTATGTTATTGTTTATGTTAAGAAAAGCAAGTAAAGTAATATTATCAGAAGGATATACGGAAGCTTTATAAAGCAAGTCCCACACATTCCGCATGGTGTTTGATGTTTCTTAAACTATAATAAGGATCCATGGTATATTTATAAGACTTAGTGCTTGAGTCATAGACAGTATTTCCTACGCTATTATAATGGTACAAATAAACTAAGCATGCTAATGGGATGAGTAATCGAAATCGCTGATTCCATTCGCTATTCGATATTTGCCAAACTACAAGTTATTTCTTCGCCAAGAAATGAAATTAAAAAGCCTGCATAAAACTTGTAAGCCAAATTTCGCGCGACCTTGTAGAGATGAGTGGCCTCACATTCGCCGACCAACGATGCAAGAACAAGAAATATGTTGACGTGGTACCTAAAACTTAGTTTGGTCGACAGATAAGCGTGTGTGTACGTGACAAATTCAACAGATAAATATTTCTAGACCATGGGCAATATTGATACAGAACTCGAAGGTGTGGTTTGCACGCAAAATAAGCTTGGCTTGGCAGCTAGCACGGCCTGATAAAACTAAACAAACACTAACATGAGCGATCTCTGGTTCAACTGATATGAAACGTACACCGTCGGGTAAAAACCGCCTCGCCATAAGCCTGCGTCTACACAAGACACGTTGGGGTAATGGATTAAATTAACATGAAGCACCCGAGTTGATTCAATTACCATAAAATACCTCAAGTCACGATGTCTGACGTGAAGAAAATATGTGAATTGTTTTTGTATTAACCAAATTGCCATCAAATTGATATCAATTTAAATGATTTAAAAAAAATGAGCTATTGAGTGCCCATTTATGTGCTTAGTTACAATTGTGTTTTAGACGTAGACATATCTGAGTACTATTACATTCGTATTTACGTTACAACAATAATAAACGATTTGAATGATGCAGCTAGAAAAAAAACTACATAACATAAAAAAAACTACGTTTAAAAAAACCGACTTCAAAAACAACAAAAAAGTGTCAAATAAGTAATTAAAATTGATATTTTAATAGCACTCTTACGTACGCGAAGCTAATACTTTTAATATTAATAATAAAACACTATCAATTCTATGTGCTACCTATTCATAGGTTTGAAGTCGGTGCCAAGCCTAATACATAATATAATAAGCATGATTACATGAGTACCTAAACTCGCCGGGCGCGTTTGAATTTATTTGTTAGGATTTAAGAAATTTAGTACCGATTTTCTAACTTGATGGCGTTAGCGTAGAATCAGAAGTCTATATGGTTCCGTTACCGGCGAAACTGTATATAGGTTAGAAAGGTATATGGTACTTGGTTGTTAAAAGTAGAAGTAGGTAGCTGCGTTGTTAGTTGTGGAAATTTCGTTTTTTAGCAGTTAAACAGTCTTAATTCTCATTTAGTTTTATTCTGTTTAGGGCTTGGCACCGACTTCAAACTTATGAATAGGTAGCACATAGAATTGATAGTGTTTTATTATTAATATTAAAAGTATTAGCTTCGCGTACGTAAGAGTGCTATTAAAATATCAATTTTAATTACTTATTTGACACTTTTTTGTTGTTTTTGAAGTCGGTTTTTTTAAACGTAGTTTTTTTTATTTTTTTCTTTTTAGTATTAGTCGCAAGTTCTACTGTAAACTACAGTAATATTTGTTAATTTATAAGTAGCTATGCGTAGGTGAACGAATGGAGCCGCCCGATTAAAAAATATAGATCCCAAGAAATGGGAAAGTTGTCATCATCATCATCATCATCATCATCATCAGCTATTTTAATGTTCCCACTACTGGGACACAGGCTATCTCTCTAGGAGAGGGAAAGTTCTTAACAATATGAATTAATTAAGTCTAAACACGAGGTAGCTACTGTAAACCGTTGAGGAGTTCCCTAGACTGTCATTCGTCTTCATCATCAGATCCCTAATGACAGCCACAATCCATCAAGGTAAAGTTCTCATCAAAACGAATAAATTAAGCTCAAACACAAGGAAGTTGCTATGAATCATTGAGGAGTTCTCTCGACTGTCTCTCGTTTCCATCCGGAATTCCCTCGACGGTCAATTGTCTCCATCATCAGGTAAACTGCAGATCTTCAGTTGTTATGATACATACCTACAGGTACAAAGTTTTCATCAATATAAATGAATTAAGTTCAAACACGAAGTAGTTACTGTAAACCATTCAGGAGTTCCCTGAGCTGTCCTTCGTTCTCATCATCAGACCCTTAATGACAGTTACGACCAAGCCTGCTGCAAAGTGCTCGCCAATACGAATCATTCAAGCCCAAACACAAGGCAATTACTCCAAATAGTCAAGGAGATCCCTCGACTGTCTTCCAGCTCCAACATCTGGTCGACTTCGACCTTCGTCAAGTTGTAGTGTTGATAAAGGCCTACTTAAACATCATATAAAAACACTGCTCGCCCCTACAATTTTTGAAAGTTCCCCTCGGTTTCTCCAGGATTCCATCATCAGATCCTGACCTCATGACAATGGGACCAAATGGCAAGTATACCCTATCGAATAAAAAAAGAATTTTGCAAATCGGTCCAGGCGTCTTCGAGTAATCGGTGTACATACATAAAAAAAAAAAAAAAAAAAAAAAATACTCGTCGAATTGAGAACCTCCTCCTTTTTTGAAGTCGGTTAAAAAGAATACTTTCGTATAAGAGTGCAGTCGACAATCCGTGTTATAAAATAAAACCCGTATGTATCATTTTGACACTTCTATAAATCATTTCTTTTATTGCAGTGTCCTGTGTGCCTATTATTTGGCCGTTTATTTGTTGTAGCCCCCACCTTTTATTCGGTCCACGTTTGTACGTTTTTATTATTTTCTAAGTTTTTTTCTTTTACCGTCGCGTGGAGTGAATGTAACGTCTGTAACAGTGTACGGTGAACGATATCAAGGTTAATAAAGAACATACGTCATTAACACGCATGAGCAACAAGTTAATACCTATACCTAACAAAATGTTTTTCGGTTATCATAAAAAAAAAACTCAACTAAATGCTTAGGTTTAAATGCTTTCGTCGCTTCCAAACCTTCTCATACTTTATAAATAATAAAATTTCCATTGAGTAATTTGAAATTGTCGAACATAATATTTCGTTATAATTTTCTTCTTAAAAATTCAATGAGCTGGTTTTTCCTTTTAGGAAAAAACTCTCAAAAATACCATAATTGGATGGTGGTCTGATGTAAAATTATAATGGCTGGAGTGGCGTGATGTTGTTACTGTAATGTATGTAGGCATTATGACGTAAATTCACGGTCAGTTCACGGTCATAAATTACATGGGCAATCAAAGCATAATTAATCCTGTTCTTAACAATAATATAATAGGAATATCCTTTAGGAAACTCAAGTTTAACTATAGTTTTATGAAACTACACTATGTAAACATGCTCGAGTCATTCCTATTGAGGAAATTTTAATTTTACTAATTTATATTTATAGAAAATCAGTGAGTAAATATCCTCATAAAATACCCATTACTAGGATACCTAACGGTTTATTTAAGCTGTTGTTGGGTTCTAATCAGTATGAAAGTCTGTTTAGAAAAATGTCGCGTCTCTATGGATCTCCAAAATAAAAATAGACATGATTAGCACATATGTGATGAATTCAAACATTTTGTATTACCGTTATGTTCGTTTATTGCGTAGCTGAGTACATCTGCTTATATACATCGTATGTGGAGTAATGATTTCATGAATAAATGCATATGCACACGGCTCGATGCACTGAGAATTGATTTTAATTAATTTATTGTTTGTTCCTCGTTTTAAATGATATTGCCCTCCTGACTTTTAAACCAACCAATACCATTCTCAATAATAAATGTCTTATTATTCGTTGTTTGAAATAAATAAAAACTGACTATGACATGGGTTCTGGTAGTTTAACGTCGTAACTCATAAAGTTAACCATCAACGAAACAAAACAAGAAAACCGTTAGTATTCTTCGAATTTCGAAACTTGTAATTTTATCTCTGATGTTGACCACCAGTCTTTTAGGTTATGTCTACCTTTCATATTACAATTGCAACGTGCGAAATATTAACATTTTACTTAGTGACAGTTTACGGGTTATCTAAATAATTTACACCCAGTTTTTGATGAAATATTATGTAACGAAGTACCTATATTTACATAACTGGTATTAAGTAGGTATTTTATTAAGATATTTAATGGCACTAGATATTGCAAAGATAAAGTCTAGAAATCTTGTCTTGATAAACACTGTAAAACCTCATTGGATTTTAACAGAGTTTTTGGGCAAAGATCTGAGAATATCTTTCCTTCCTTATTAGTTAAGACAATTAAATATTAGCAAACAATGAAGGAAATTGAGAAACACTGATATTTTTTGTAGTTACTTCCTTAGGTAGGTGTGTAAAATTAGTTTTGTTTTTCCCTTAAGTCTGCCGTTAAATCGACGAAATCTAACAAACGGACGGAGATTTTTTTCTACTTTATCTAATCATTATTATTGTTTAGAAATGCCTTCATCATCAAGATTAGTGCGGTGACCTTCACGATTTGTGGGCGTCGTCGGATGGCGTGGCGCGTCGCGCGATCATACGGATACGCTACGTCATCCGCGGGTACAAACAAGTCAGGTGGTGGCAGCACTAGCGCGCGAGCACGCCCGCCACGCACGCCGAACTCACCGGCTTCGCATATCACGCCACTACAACAACCAATCAGCAACAAGAGATTC